GTGTTTAAAGCTCTAGTTTGGTTTTTTGTTTTTTGGTTGTTGTTATTTTTTGTTTGTTTGTTTGTTTTTTTTAAACAACACGCAGACTGAAGGCTTGGTCTTGTTTCTTAGATGAGCAATCTTTTATTGATGTGCAGCAGCAGAGTTCTTCAACCCAGCCTCTCTTGCAGTCGTATTTCTGCCGTTTCCTTTGAGGAAAAAGTACACAAGCTGACGTACAGAACTGTGATAGATTTTCTTCTGTTCCTTAATCATGCTCTCCTAACCTCTTCACTGATTAAAAGTTGTGCTTGACATAGAGACTGTTAAAGAAGAGCTGTGAACGCTTCAGCTTCTGAGAAATGCTGCTTTCCCAGAAAGGGAGAGTTCTTGAATGGAGAGGCTGCTTTACAGTGAATCACAGCAGTGTGCCTTCTCTTCCATGCAGTCCTGGTCTCTTACTGAGGGTTCGGTGTGAAGTATTACAGCTGAACTCACTTCCTGTTCAGCTGTAGGCACATACTGTGTCACAGGTTTTTCTGTCTCCTCTGTGAATCTTACAGGAGTGAGTTCTGGGATTTCAAAGCTTGTCACAGGAGGTTAGAAACATGTGGACTGGAGGTATGTGAAGAGGTTGGTGAGCACAGGGGAGTGGGAGATGACTGCTTTGTCTATCAGATAGTCCCATTATCTTCACTACCACCTCATCTCTCCCTCATCCTTCACTCTGGAGTAGGGTAGATTAGCTTTTTCGCTCATTAATACAATTCACAGTAAATGTGTTTTAGCTCAAGACTGTGGGAGTGGGAAAAGAAAAAAAGTAGAAAGAGGACAAAACAACTACGAAGAAGAATAACAACAAAAATCCATTTGAGTGCCAAGGAATTGTTCACATCATCTTTTATTGACTTTATAAAAACTGGGAGATAACGGGAGTGTGAGAGCAGTAAGGCTCTTTGATACCTGTGTCTCATGCTTCCTGTAGCTTCCATGGCTATTTTACTCTCATCAGAGGGTTACAGCAGGGGTCATTCTTGCAGCTACCTGTTTTATTTCAGTACTGTAATAAAAATACCCTTTCTGAAAGAGACAGACATGATTTTGTTAGCCATGAATTTGGTTCATCCTAATCATCTGGGCACTTAGCATGTAAATCAAAGTTCTTGATTCTAGTTACCTCTGCAGAACAGGCAGAAGCAGCATTACTGGAGTTGTTGCAAAGTGTTTGTAGGTTTGTTTCCATGCCACTTAAAAACACAATATAATACCATTTTCCTTTCTTCCAGTGTTTATGGCCCTTTTATTGCACCAATGCTGTTGTTCCTTTGGTGCCTTGGTGAGCTGATGTGGCTCATTAAACCAGTATATTATTGTGGTTTTCTGTATTCTGGTTGTTTTCTTTTGGGTGGGATTGCTTTTCTTCATTCTAATGAGCTGTATTGGCTCCTTACAAGCTTGGATAGTACTTGAGCTGACTCGAGGGGAGGATTGGGGGAACAGTGAACAGGACCATGCTATTCAGCAGCAATGATCTGTTAGATTGACTTAGTTGCACATGAAACTTTCCAGTCCGGTATTTATCTCCATGATTATGCCAATTGGGGAACTTGCAGAGTGGGAAAGTGGGTGATAAGAGAATTGTTGAGACACAAATTCCTAGCTCCTTCAGTGCCGTGTCTGGTGAGTTGAGGCTATAAGAATAATAACAGTGAGAAAGTGAAAGCGTGGGGCAAGATGTGGTATCTGACATGTTTAAAAGAAAAATCAAAACCTCTAGCTTGCTACATGTGCAGTTCATTGTTCTGTTGTTTTTTGTTTTTTGGTTTTTTTTGTTCAATATGTGACCATTAATTTGTAATAAGTAATGGAAAACCTGTTGTGAATAAACTGATTTTAATAATGTTTCTCACTGTATTAGTAATTTCGAAGATGCATTTTTTTCAGCTTCTCTGCATGAGAGGTGTGATACTGACTTTCAAGCGAGGAAATGGAGACATACAGAAAGAGAAACAAGGGTGCTCTGTGATTCTCTTGCTCAGTGCTTAAATATGTATGACCTGATATGCTGGAGAACTTAAAAAGGATTTGAGTTCATATTTTATACTTTCATTGTACGTTCATACTCAAATCTGAATGTAGAGTCTCTAAATGAGGAGAACATATGATACCTATTTAGTTTAAGTGACTTGCCTTATATCAGATTGAAGCCTTTCTGACGGAAGAGTGGAGTACAGTTTCCCAGGGCAGCCTTCTATTACAAGCTGTAAGACCATCCTCTCCCTTCCTGCTGTCCATGAGTCTTCCACAGCATATGCTGCCACTTCTGAAAACTAAGTAGGATCCTGCAGGCCAGTCAAACCCCTCTTGAGAAAACTGATCGTGAGCTGAACCTTGTAAGGTACAAGCTCCAAATGGACCTTCAGAGTTTCTTTCAATTCAAAATATAGGTGTTTAGATATGAGTTGTTACCAGATAGAATTTCTAATTTTAATGGAAAACATTTTTGGGTGAATGTCCTAAATATGTAGAGGTACAATCACCGAAATGTCTGGACAAGGTCAGACCAGGAGTGCATATCTCCTCTATTCTCATCTCTTACAGGGTTCAGCAGGGACAGGATCTTCTTCCTTTTTCTGTCTGACACTGTATGTAGGTGTTACAGCCCTCTTACCCTGGGAGGTGTCTTAGTGTAGATGTAGACTGAACTACATTTCAGATGTTAGAGGCTTTGTTGATTCCTAGCCTTCTAAAGGGGCCAAACATGCTTCTCTCTCCTAGATTTCTTGTGTGGGTAGGTACTTCATGACCACCTGCTAAAAAAGAGGCTGGTGTCACAGCCAGACATGTTACACCTGTGTAGTTGGAACTGCTGCTTGCTGTCCATTGCCACAGCTGCTGTCTCTGGACACAGAAGACCAAGAGACCTTTTCTGCACGTTTATGCCATCTTTCGTGACCTTATGCATGCAAGTACTGCTCCAGTTCTGGGATGTGGCTCTAAAGTGATCTCGATATAAGGAATTGCTACAAAGATGCAAAGGACTGAATGGCTCATCACCAGTCACTTGCCATTCAGCTCTGCCCTATTAATAGGAGGAGACTTGAAGGAGTGGAAGGGTGAGGGCATGAATTGCAGAGGACTGTGACCTCACCTCCATTTTGTTTCCTTTTTTTTTTTTGATAGTAGGTCTTTCTCATTTTACAAACTTAGAAGGCAGCTGCTCTCTTCTCCACTTTGCAGATGAATGCTTCCCTGTTTGCTGCAAGACATGGTGGTCTTGTCTATGAATGCAAGTTGCATGAATTGGTATGCCTTCAGTGCTCATCTGACCATTTCAGTTCAGGAAGTTGTACTGGTTAATCTGGGAAATTAGCCTATCTAAGAAAGAAATTCCTTATTCTTTCAACTTTGCAAAATGAAGCAGTCCATCAAGGGCCTGGAATCCTGTTTCAGGAAGCAAGACCATGGTTATTATAAGATGATGGTACCAGTTGGAACCATCACTGTAAAATCTGACATTGCAATGGGCTGGTAGCTTAGGGCTTGAAACTGGTATCTTAGGCTTTTCTCTTGCTGTGTGTTCCCTGCCTCTACCCTAGATCTACAGAGTTGTGCAACTACAGGGTGAATTGGTTATTGAGCTGTTTTGGGAAGTGAGAGGAAGTAGGAACTGATCAATGGGAAACTGAGCTGCATGATGACTAGATATGCATCAGGGAAAGAAGAATATGAATAATGTGTTCCACAGCATCCTGGAGATGCATCAGATCAAGCACAATATGAGACAGCACCTTATGCCTCATTACTCATCCTTGCCCAGCCATTGTGATGTTCAGAAGTGCTTTTCTACCTCATGTGGTGCATCTGTGAATATGCAGCATATTTCTTTTTGAGTGTATATGGCCCTTATTTTTCATAGTGTCGTCTTCATCTTCTGCTAGCCTCCATTGTACAGCTTGAGGAACATTGCTACTACCCCAGTCAGCTTCAGTTTTCGGTTCCCTCTCTGTTAGCCAGTCATCCAAAGCTGTACTCTCCTTCACTTTAAGAGGTTTTTTTCTTTCTTTCTGTCCCTTGAGTAGAAAGATGGGGCTCTTGGCTCCTGGAGCTGTCTCCTGGACTAAGTGGATCATTGTACGCATAGTAGCTAAGTTGTGTTTTCCAGAGGGCAGTTGGGAACAACTCCAGACAGATCAGGAAAGGCCCTGCTTCTGCAAGAATTCTTCAAGAGACTGTGGGAGAAGTTCCAACATGACACGTTTTTCACTAGAGTTGAAGGCAGAGGGCTGGCTGGCTGGGAATGGGCTCTCTGAGAACTAGAGTGCTGGGAGGAGGTGCAGAAGCAACTATGTTCACTATGGCTTCCCAGGGGAGGATAACTTCTTGAAAATCTCTGCTTTCCAGAGGGTTGTGCTGTTAGAAAAGACCTGTAACTGAAACTTACATGTGTGTCTGGATGTTTGTCCAGAGGTCTCTGCACCATGTTCCCCACTGTGGTTCCCCACAGCTTCTGTTTCCGAGAACATACTGCAGAGGAACAGGTGCCTGCCCAGTCCTGGAAGAGTTTCCAGGTTGGTTCCTGTATTGCTGTGTGAATGCACTCTTCTGAAGAAATGCACGTCACTCAATGGGAGCTGTTGTGGTGGACCAACTTCTCTGTAGTGCAGTAAGATTTACAATGCACCTATGCTAAATATTTACTTAGGCTTCAGAAAGGGAAGAGCATACAGATACGTTCACTGGCAAACGTAGGGTCTGAAGAAGCGTGGAAAGCTACAACTTCATTGGCTTTAAAGAGTGTGCTGTGTTTCAGCTATAATTTAAGATTGGTGAATATAAAGTTGTTACACATACACTACAATTATTTGTTTGGAATTGAAGCATATTCTGCTGGTTTTAACATTTTTAAGTTAAGACTTCGGATTAGTTTCCAGGAATCGCTGTCTGAGATTCAGTCTGAGATTGTGTCAGAATAATGCTTTTTTTTTTTTTTTTTTTTTTTTTTTTTTTTGCAGATTGCCTTCATGACCCTGACTCTGTTTCCTATCCGACTCTTTTTTGCTGCTTTTATGATGCTGCTGGCCTGGCCTTTTGCATTCATTGCTTCAATGGGACCTGATGAGCAAGAGCTTGAAAAGCCCCTCTCCTGGTGGCGAAAGTGAGTCCCTGATGTCATGAAATACTAAGAGAATCATTATTTAGTCCAACAATTTGAAAAAGAGAAGATTGGAAATACCTGATACCTGTCCCACAGACCTGCTTTTCTTTTCAGAATTAAAATATAAGAATTATTATTTAAACAGTCCTTGGATGACAAACTAAAAATACCTCAACTGTTTGCTATACCAGGAGATACAAGAATTACAGGGAGAAAAACTGGTCATTGCTCACCTCTTTATTGAGGATGTAGTGCAAAGCAGCATTGTGACATCCTTCAATTTCACTTATTCCTGTAATGTCAACTTCTTGTTATGAAGAATGACACTACGGAATGTGCCCAGATTTCATATTCTAAATTGTTGTTTTAAACTGCTTCACCCCATTTACTGCTGCCCTGTGATGAATTGACAGAACTTCTGTTGATTCTGAGGGCTTGCCCCATGCTTTGGTGCTTATTAAGAAATCTGTGCTCGTTTTGATATTGGAAAACTAATTAAGGTAGAATGTAAGATAGTGTTCACCCATCCATGAAAACTGCTGTTTGAGGAGTAAGAAAGGAGGTGTGTATCACCTCTTCTGTAGATAACTTTAAAATTAGGAGCTGGCATTACCATCAGGGAAGCTGATTCTGTTTTGCATCACAGGAGGGAAGGAGAACCACAGAGGCGTGTCACTTTGCATTTCATTTGGAATGCCATCAGTATAATAACTAAAGGAATAATAGACTGCCATCAACCTTTCATAGAGTTATTTTGAAGCTTTTTAGATTGTCCCTCCCCCATTTAATCCAGTTTTCTGTGTCACCCTGCTCTCCAGCCTCCACTCCCTGTGAGTATAACAATCTGTAGTGTTTGGTTTTGGCACTCTGCTGGTTGAAAGTAAATGCTTCTCTTCTCATGACTATCAGTTTAAAAAAACAAGCAAGCAAAACCCCAGCAAAAAATAAACCAATCAACCCACCACAAAACAAACAAAAAAACACTTGAGGAGGACATGGGGAAAAGGAAAGAAGGTAAAATATTTCCAAAGCTCCAAGGTGTGTTCTGTAAGCATCCCTCTGTTTGAGAATCTCTGCCCCACATTTCTGCACTGTTTTGTTTGGGTGAACTTGAACCTAGGAATCAGGGTTGTTGCATTCTAGTAATATGCTAATAGCATTTTTCAGGACTGAGTTTATTAAAGCTTTTTTTGTTGTTACTTGAAAGCATTATTAGACATGATATAGAAGAAACTCAACAGTCATAGTCTGAATCAAAATTAGTGATAAATGCCAATCTTACTGTGATTAAAACACATTAATATTCAGGCATGAATTGAAATTAAATGGCATTTTACCTTAAAAGTGGTCTTAAACCTGCTGAGAAAGAGGAAACAAAAGGTCTGTGTAGTGTTCCTGCTCTGTTTGAGCAGCATATCCTATCTGCACTTCTTTCATGCTTATGAAGTTCTTATGTAACATTTGCCTTTTCATTTATTAAGGTATTCTTGTGGCAGCATAACTTTTTTTTTTTTCCCTCCCCCCAACTCTTTACAGGATAGTGGATATTTTGCTGAAAGCAATCATGAGAATGATGTGGCTTGCTGGTGGATTCCACTGGATAAATGTAAAAGGCAGACGGGCGTTGCCAGGAGAAGCAGCAATATTAACTGTGGCTCCCCATTCTTCCTACTTTGATGCCATTCCAGTAACTATGACCTTCGCCTCCATTGTGATGAAAGCAGAAAGTAAAGATATTCCTGTTTGGGGAAGTAAGTTGGTAGATAATTAATTTTTTAAGAACAATTAAAAATGATTACTTATGAGCTTTGTTGGTTATGTATGGGAAAGCAACGTTTTCTTTGTTTTTCAGGCCATAGTATGTAGTGACTTCAATTTTTTTTTTTAGTGTTTTACTTTGAATGTCAGTAGAAAAAATTGGGAGGGATGGGTTTTTTCCCCCCACCTTTCTCCAAAGTTGAATCATTGTACAAAGTCAAAACAATTCTACAGAACTCATGATTACGTTTGCAATGAAACTGTAATATTCCAAGACCTGACAAATAGAAAAGCAAGTTAGGATGGGGCTATGGAAACAAAGGGTGAGGCTGGAAAAAAAGTCTACCAAGACTTCTTTCTTGGTGCAAGTCAGGGCGCCATCCCAGAAACGTGTTTTAGGAATGTTGCCTGCTCTCAGTGGTGCTTTGCTTTGAGGGAGTGCTGCTAATCCTTCGTGCATCAATAAGCTTGCTTCAGGCAGGGTGCGAGAGATGAGCAAGAAGCGGATTATCGTGCGCTCAGATTTAGTCACAAGAAATGCATATGCTCAGGTCAGTAATGTTTGAATACTATCAGTGTTGATTGTTGCAAAGGCTTGAGAGAGACCTGTGATTTTTGGGTACAGTTGTGCCAAAAGTGTGTAAGCTTCTAGGCTTTTGTAGGCTTCTAATCAAAGCCTGTGTGGAAGCATTTTGGAGAAACCCACCATGTTGTATCGAGGGACCATCGGAGTTGAAAGGATCTTCCTGTGTCTCATTAGGTAGATTTTAACGGTAGTATAAAAAGGACAAGAGTTTTTACTTTCGCCTTGGGTAGGGACTGTTTAAAAGTCTAAACAAAAGCTTTGACTAACCTTGCAACTAAGTGGAATCAGGCTGTTGATGTTGACATCCTCCTAAAATTTCATTAGACAATGTAGTTTTGAGAACAGGTTCAAAACCAGAAGCTGAGGCATGGTCACAGATGGTGAGTGGTTACGTCTGGATGTTTTATGTATGGGATCACTTGGTATAAAGGTCTCTCTATTAAGTAAAGCTCAGGCCAGAACAGTTTAGTGAAATCTCATGGCAGTGAAAAATCTGTGTAAAAACGATAGATCCTTTGAACAAAAAGGGTGAAGGCATGTAGGCACAAATAAGTATAAATGCATGTAAATAAGCATAGTGTGGAAACAAAAAGAAATTAAACTCCCTACTGAAAGAAGATACCGTTACGAGATGGTATGTTGACACTCCTGTACAGTATAGGGGTACCCAGGCCAACTTGGGCTTGGAGGAGCAGTCCAACCATAGAAGCAAGGGCAGATTTATCTTCTTTCCCTGCTGACTCAGTTGACTGTTTAATAATTGCTAGCTCAGCAAAATAAAGTAGTCTGTGTGGAGCTCTCCTTTACTTGCAGCTGTTTGGAGGACCCAAAGCAGATGTGGTAGCTCCAGGCCATGTTGTGTTACTGAAATGTGATGAAACGGCAGAATGGCATTTGACATAATGCTACAATAGCTGCTTAATTATCCCACGTAATAGATTCAGTGGGGGCTAGTGGGGGAATCTGAGGAGGATCTGTAGGGACATGGAGGTTGTAGTTACCCTGAATGTGGTGCAAATAATATATATTAAGTAGTTCAGACTATTTCCCGTATACCTAATTTAATTGAATCCTTTAAAAGTTAACTTAAAAGTCTAGACTTAAAATAAATCTTAAAAAAATTGACTTCGTTTTATTAATGTGTGAGTAAAACCAGTTACAGAAAAACAGAAAACCCAGTGCACACAGTGATTCAGTGGACTATTACCAGAATGTAGAGTACATTCAAGTAAATGAGTGTTTTGTCCTGTATAGCTGCATTCACTTTATGTCAAGCAGCTACAAAAACTATGTAGTCTCTTATGAAGTGTTCAGAAAAATGCCACAAAGGTGGTGAATGGCAGAGGTTATAGCTGGGATTCAGAGTTCAAAAACGTAAGGTTTTTTGGTTTTTAGAGGAATACTTTTTTTATGAGCAACATTGATTACAGCAGTTTAAGTTATTAAAATAAATAGACCTGAACAGAGAGGTAAGTAATGGCTGTAATGATTAGTTTGGCTTAAAATTTATGAAAACTTTCCAGTGGAGTGAAGTTGAGTTTCTTTTACTGCTTGAAAGAGGTTTTCTGTGAAGCAAATGGTACTGACCATCTTCTCCTTGTTTGATCTAGTATATTTAATTCCGATGTTATTTATACTTCTTTACATACACACACACACACACAATGTATTTCATGCTATTGGACCAGTGGTATTTCTCTTATGCTATCTGTGAAAAGGTGGTCATGTTTTTCTTGGGGTGTGTGGTGAATTGTCAACACTCCAGACATTCATCTAGAACTTACCCCAGAGAATCAGAATTGTTTATATTCTTCAGTTTTGTAAATCTTACAAACTTGTTGTACCATCTCCAGTGAAATCTTGGAGCCAGCTGTTGATAATCCTAACCTTGTGATTTCTTAATTGAGTCTTGTTAATGGTCGTTCAGAATCTTCTGGGAAGTTTTAAATAAAAGATATTCTTTTAACTCTGAGCAGACTTCAGCATATAAAAAATGAATCAGCAGAAGATACCCGAAGATAATTTCCAAGGATGAGGACTTTTAAGTGGAGACTAGATCTTCATCCAGAATATCCAAATATCATGTAAACAAGTTGTCTTTTTGATGTAATGGCAGTGTTTGTTAGGACACTATACATAGTGTGCCAGAGGAATCAGGTGCTATAACAGGCACAAAAAGATTTGATTGCGAATTGGTTACTGAGATTGGTTCAAAAGTATTTTAATAGGTTTGTGGAGCAGCTGCCTATGTTGTTATTGTTGTACCCTTAGTTTGCCAGTCATGGAATATTAAGCTTTTGATCTGCTTTTAAGTCCATTTGATTGAAAGCCTGTTGTTCATGGAAGTATTCCACAAGTGTGTTTGAGTATTCTAGTGCTTTCTAACTTGAAGGCAGCTCTCCTGGTCCACAAAGGCTGATTTTGGAAGCAGGCTTAAGTCTTGTGACTCTTTCAGACAGCCTCCTACATTCTGGAGGGGGGGAAGTTAAAAAAAAACATATTAAAAAATGCTCTTTTGATCTGACAGAAGAGTGATGACTTCTGCAGTTAGTGGTCAATAGTGAAGAAAGTGAAATAGAGAGTGCAAGAACAGACAGAGCACATCACCACAATGTTGAAGAAGGACATGTATGTATTCCACACAGTTCCTTTCCAGAGTTTTGGTAGGCTGGAGATGTGAAATTCACTGCACCAATTAGTGTAAAGTGTGCAGCCCAAGGAAGATGACATCCAGGAATCCATTGCGGTTTACAATGGCTGAACAAGTTAGATCAGTTCTTTCATCAGCACAGGTCCTTAAACTTTCCTGTTTTGTCTTCTGGACCCCATGTCAGGCCAGGACAAGCTATCTGCATAATTTCTGGATAGTTACACTTCACAGTCTTTTTTTATTTTTTTTTATTTTTTTTTTTTTTCTTTGCTGGTAAAGTAACCTGGATAAAAGTTACTTTTAATTGCTGAAGCGGTTGGTGCTCCTGTGGAAATACTTCAATAAGGAGGAAAAAGGATTTGTCTGACAAAATCCCCATGAAATCATATTTACTGACGACTTTTGTGATTCAGACCGCATCTTCAGTGGTCTGAATTTTTAAAAACTAAATTTGAGGTGATAAGCTGATTTAAACTTCTTGACATCTGTAACCTCACTCTCTCAAAAAAGAGAGGAACCTAGGTACTTGTGAAATGAATGGAGGGATATGTTAGTTTAAGTGTATAAATGGGAAAGAGGTCATTTGTACTTGGCAGAATGCAGAAGTGCTACAGAGGAAGCAGGGAGAATCGTACAGTGCTGTAAAAACTCTCAATTCTTTCATGGGTGTTTTTTCCCCCACATCTCATATACTTAAAATTTTTTGTTCAAGCTCACCTTTTGAAAGTGCTTTATAGGCATTTCTTGAGGATCATGACTAAAAGGCAAGAAATAAGTAACTCAGTTGGAAATATTTATGCTGTGGTAGCTGGGTACGTTTTCATCTTGGAACTTAAAATATGCCAAATTCCTTACTCATCAGTTGTGTATGCAAACTAATCCTCCAGTCCTCCACCCCACTTGTACTGGCTCTATAGGCTGCCATCTCAGTGTATCAGAGGAATGTAGGGGATAGGATTTTTTTGTTTGGGGGAGAGGCTGTGAGAAAGCCTCCGGCTCAGCACTCTACTTTTGCAGCAGATCTGTCACTCTGGTGATCCTACAGTGGTGAAAATGTAACTGCCTACTATTTAAAAATGTGTGTATGGATACATTTTAGTACTGTGTTCATTGTCATGTTGCCATTCTGTTGCTTTGTGTTCTCTGATACCTTGTAGACCGGTGGTGGTGATGCCAGTGTAGCTTTACTTTGTATACTGTAACTGTCAAGCATAACTTAAATGGTTTGCTACAATACTTTCTTATATAAATAGCACTTCATGTCTTGATTTGAAATGAGGTTTCCTCACCCACATTTGCCTGGAAATAGACAGGTGAAATAACTCCTCCCCCTTATGCCCCCCAACTCCATTATCCTTAGAAGTCCACTGACACCAATTGTATGTGTTCAGCTCATCAGAAAGGAACTCTTTTTGCTTATGCATTAGCTGGTGCTTGAAATGATTGCATGGGAGTTACTGTTTTGAAATCAGTTGGAGCTGCCACCCTGCAATTAATTCAAGCAATACTGAATTTTTGCAGGCTCCCTTAAAACAGGATGTTTCATGCTAGAGCAACTTCCTGTTGGTTAGCATATCTGTGGCATTCCGGCTGTCCTGCAAGGCAGAGGTTTTGGTGAACTACCGGTGATGCTGTTTAAATTTCAGGCACCTGCCTAAGAAAGTGAAGTACAGCGTGTGTCACCTGTCTTCAAGAGTACTTGTAATGAGCTGAAACAGGGGATGAGAGTGACCACATCAAGTAGGACTGACAGTGCTAGAGAAAAAGCTGGAATAATGACACTGGCAAGATCAATTTTGTGAATTGAGGGGTTTTCTGCCCACTAGAGTTTATAATTTGAGAGTGGTTTTAATGGAGTTAGAGGAGATGGGCAAGCACATCTTTCAGCATCTCTGAATACTTGAGTTGTGGTCTTCACTATCAGTCTTGGACACTTAAATTGACAAGCAGAGAAGGTTAAGATTATGTTCTGTTTATTAAGCATATTGCACAATTTTGCTTGCTTCCTTTACTAGCTCAGTATGCCAGCTGTCTGAAGTGTTTGCATGCATGCTGCTTTTTGCTCCTGGCCTGACTTTACTCTGCTCCAGCCTATTCCTTGCCTTATATACTACCTTACAGTACTGTCTCTAGGCTTCCCTATGTTTTGACTTGATTTCTGACTGCAGTCTCATCTTGTCCACCTATCTGGTGTGTTTCTCAGTTTCTCTTTACAACCTGTTGGCCCTGCTCCTAACTATTTCTTGCACAAATCGACTTGGTACAGCCTTTGAATTTTCAGATTCCTGTCCATTTACTGAACATGAAAATACATGGTGAGAGTAAAGATCTGTGTAGTCTTATGCTCTGTTTTCAAACATGCTTATGAAAAGAGTGTATGAGGAAAGGCAAGTACTGAGCTAGCCTTTGCTTGGTATGTACTTTTTCAGCTTCTTACTAATGACGTGAGAGTTGCAATTTCACTTGAGTTGTTGGACTTAACCGCTAAGGGTCTGGTAGTTGGTATCTGATAGGATCTCGAGTTGCTGTTTAATGCCAAGATTTCTGTCAGCTTTTTGGTCTGATTCTGAAGGAAGTAAGACTTAGCTTAATAGACAGGGTGATTGTATTAAGTTTTGGTGTGCTGGGCTGAAATAGTGATGGCTTCATACATATTTGAGAGAAACCTGATGGTTTAAAAGATGGAAGTTCCACAGCCTGCATGAAAATAGTGTCTGAACCATGAGCAAAGAAATGAACTTGCCTTGAAGCCTATTTTATATCATACAACTCAGCAGGCAGAACAAATCCATAGGAAACCATGCTTTTGGTTGTCTCCTTTTTCAGCATACCATAATAGTTTTTCTTTGCACATGGGTGTGTTGCTGTTTGTGGTGTTGTCTATTTGTAAGATAACTTGCAGTGTGTTATTTTTGGGCTTGGTAACACTGCAGTAGCTTGCTTTTTGGGAAGATTGTAAGAGTAAAGCTCCCAGGTTAACAATGCTTGCCTGCCCAGTTTTCAGATACAGATTACATTAGTGGTTAGAGACTCAAAATGGGTAAGTTGTCTATAGGCTTATGTTTTGGTCATATTGCCCTAAGTAAAATCTATCTGCTTGCTTAATTTCATGTATTATAAAGAAGACTGTGCTTGCAGCATATCCTCGGATAAATGCTTCAGAGCACTGGAAATATCTTGTGCAGTCCTTGGCCTGAAGTAACCTGAATTCCATCATTTGGGCCTAATGTAAAAGAAACCTCAGGGTGAAGGCTGAGGATACTTGAATCTTTTTTTTGCTTGCTTTTACTTGGTGATGCTGGATTTGCTACAGAATAGTAATTTGCAGCGGTAGGGGAAACTTGGGACTAGCATCAGTAAGAAACAAAACAGTTACGGATATTAGGAAAAAAAATTCTTCACTGAAAGGGTGATCAGGCATTGGAAGAGGCTTCCCAGGAAAGTGGTGGAATCACTGTCCATGGAAGTGGACAAAATGTGTAGATGAGCCCCTTAGTGACATATTTAATAGTGGACTTGGCAGTCCTGGGGTAAAGGTTGAACATGATCATCTTTAAGGTCTTTTCCAACCTAGTTGATTCCATGGTTCCATGAAACCAAGTATGGTTTCTTTCGCATGTTTTATCCTTTGTCCTGTTTTTCATCTGTTTTCTGGTGGGTGGTTTGTGGAGTTCCCGCACCACCCCCCCACCCCCCCATCCCCCGGTTTTGTATATGGTGGTTTTGGGGATTTTTTTTTATTTTACCTTCCCACAGCAGTAACCCCAGCTAACCCATGATGATCTTTGCTCTCCTAGCTAGCATTGTTCTATGGATATTGTGTAAGAACAGGCACATAGGAAAAAGTGCAAGAGCATAGTAACTTTTCTGTGATACACTGTCTCCTAAGCTTTAGCAGCTTGTGGGATAAAAGCAGTATTTTGGAGGCTGGCTGAATGTTTGGGAACTTACTGTAAACTGTGACAGATTGGTTTCACAAAACCATAGTAGGATTTTGATGAGTTGCTGGCTGAACTGCCAGTTGAAGTAACACCAGAACCAGCAGCTTTTGCTGAGAACAGGACTGTAATTTCTTACACTTTTATTTTCTTCACACTTTAAGCACTGCTGATCTATTAATGCAACAGGTCTATCCTTGACAAAAGAAGATTATACAACTAGTGTCACTGAGCTCATTCCATGGTGACTGGAAAAATGAAAACTATTTTATATTTTTCTTTTAGGCAAATAGAATAGTTAATTATTTAGTGACTCTTGAACCTTTGAATACATTTACACGATCAAAAATATAAAAAGGTATTTGAAGACAACCTGCTTAAATAAAAGCGTAAAGTAGTATATTTGAAGATGCTTCTCTTGTAGTGTTTTTTGACACTATGAAAGAGTTGTATATGATATTTATTTTGTTAGGGGGCTTTGGTGTCCTTGTGGCACACATACATGGAGAGCATATCGTGGATTGATTTCTGATTCTTGTTCATGCTCGTTTTGTGTCTGACTATGTATAAGAGGTTTCCCACCAAGCCAAGAAGAGTGTGCCTGAGATCTAGTATGAGGAACAGGCAAACAGGTGACAGCCTAGAAAATAAGCATACTTTTTCCTTTGATGATGCTGATTTCCCCCAAAAGGGTAACTTAATCTGTGTATGGAATACCTTTGGTGTATCTTCAGTGAAGTTGAGCTGTTATAGAAGACAAAAGCTGTAAAGACAGTGGCAGTTTGATCCAGAGAATGTGTTTTGGAAGTACCTGCATTGAGACATACTTTGCTGGGTTGGGGGTGGCTATAGCTTTCTGTGAATTTTGTGGTAGGAGGAAATGACCTATAGTCAGCCACAGCTGATTTGTTGCAAAAAACTATGCATAAAACATACAGTCATATTTTAAATTGTCTGTGATGTGTACATTGGTCTATTTAAACTTGAACAAGTAGAAAGTGCCAAAATTATGAAAACGGTTTTCCTTACAGGAATTTATGAAAATATTTTAATAAAACTGCAATAATTCAGCAGAGTATTTCAGTTTGCAGTGTAATACAGTAAAGTGGTTATGTTTTTGTACCAAAATTTTTGTTCACAGGACTACTGGGAGGTGAGGAAATATTTTTCAAACTAAGGGGAAATAAAGGGTGGTTTTGTTTTCCTTCCTCTTCAGCTCTAATCAGATACATCCGACCAGTGTTTGTGTCTCGGTCAGACCAGGATTCTCGCAGGAAAACTGTTGAAGAAATAAAGAGGCGTGCTCAGTCTGATGGTAAATGGCCACAGGTACTGTATACTACTACTGTGTGACAGATGGTATTTGGCATTTCCAGGCTTTGGATATGCAGTTTACTTTTTAACTTGTGGGAGGCTTTAGATGGTTTATGGGGGATAAGATTTCCAGACCCCACCCCATCCCTTCTGGAAGATAGAAGGTTCTTATCTGTACAAAACACTGCCTTCTCACTGCAGTGTGTTTCAAGGGGAGATTGGGTGGTAAGTACATGGGAATACAGCTCTATTAAGTGATTCTAAACCTGCTGTCATCTAGTAAGTTCTTTAAGAAGAAAATGGTCAGGTGCTCAGGAGAATACCTGGGGGAGTATTGTGTGTTCTTGCCATTCTCAAGATTTTAGCATACTGTCATTGTTGGAGGTGGATACTGGCCAAGACAGCCCAAGCAATGCGCATGTCCCAGTAACTGGAGTATACCTCTGTTGGACCACGTGATGAAAACATTGCTAAAATAAGTGGCTCAGTTATTTTTCTGCACCCGAAATGTGACTATTTGTAATGTGCCTTGGAAGAGAATAATGGGAAGGAAGGGATGACTCCTGGAGGGTCTTGGTTTTCTAGAAGCATGTGATTATTTTGAAAATGTGAAGCATTCTTCTTGTGGAATTTTGAGGTCAAGATACAGGATGACTGTCATGGCATTGTTACTACAAACAGTGGTTATGTCCGCATACTGGACTACAGAAATTTTGTAAACAGTTACAAGCAATGTGACAAAAGGGTGATATATAGCTTTCACATCATGACTTTCAATAGATTTCAAAGGAAATAATCTTACTTACAGATGAAGAAACTGTGTTGCAGGGCTGAAATGATTTCCAGAATATCTATCAAGCTAGTACCAGAGTGGGCAATAAAAGTAGTAATGTTAATTCTAGTCCATTACTTTGTCCCCTTGTGATATGTATTTCCTTCAAATGTCTTGTTCTGTAACTCAACAAAATCTCAGCAGTTCTTGGCTTTTTGCTGTCTAAAAATTACTTTTTTTTTTTTTAAAGTCTACCCTCTGAATTCAGTTCAACTTGAGCATTTTTTTCCTTGTTAGAATTCTGTTTAGGTATTTTCAGCCTTTATCATTCTGACATCTGTGCACATACCAAGTAGTAAAAGCAAAAAGAAAATAAGTCTTCCTTTTCTTAGCGCAATAAGCAGGTAGCTTGGAGCAGAACAGAATATGGTATTTTTAACAGCACCAAAAACCTTTTGTGAAAATTCTCATGTACTCACAAGTGTTTCTGGTCACTGTCAGTGTTCCAATTGAATAGAATTATTATCAGACGTCAAGAAAGAGGCGAAATCGCAGATAAAAATATTTTTACTATTAAGACAGAACTTTGACTTCTTTGTCGAGCAGGATTTTTTTAACTCTGAACTGTTTTCCATGAAACTTTTTTTTTTTTTTTTACTGTACTCAGTTAATGTTAGCTTTGAAAAGATGTGTTTATAAATAAATCTACACTGAAATAGTTCTTAAAAGTCAATTTTATTTTTTTTTTTACTTCAAGATAATGATATTCCCAGAGGGCACTTGCACAAACCGATCCTGTCTAATTACATTCAAGCCTGGTAGGTATGATACTCATTTCTCTGTTCTCTACAGAATGCTCTCGTTTCTTCATTTTCTGAAATACCACTTGCATTGTAATTTTCTTGCTGTTGTGGAAGTTGAGTTAAAAATCTTGCAGTAGGGTAGAATGGGACTAGAAATTTTCTAATGCTAGAAAAGGATTAAGCAAAACAGTTCAGATTTTTTTCTTGGCTTCTGAGATGAATATGAGCTGGAGGAGTAATGTTTCTTACTGGGATTTTGTTTGTGGTTGTCTTTTTTTTTTCTTTTTTTTTTTTTTTTTTCCCTTTTCTCTTGCCCCCTTCATTTCCTATTTTGGGTCTGTCATGCAGCATTTAAATACGCTGTGAAGCTTAAGGTATCAGCGTGTATCTATTTCAGGCTGCTGCAGCATTTGTTGCTGTGTTGTATGTGGTTGTTTCCTCTCAAATTCCTCTGCTGAGTTGCATTCTAGTGAAGAGTGCATAAGAATCTTGCCAGTATACCACTGTTACAGAAGCTGTCATTTCTTATAATATTTTTTTAACTTAACATTCACATTCTAAGCTCTTTCCAGTTAGTCCTTTATCAGTCCTAATCAGTCCTTTAGCTTATCATATTAGGAGCGGGTATAACTCTGAATGTTGTTGCAGTGTAAGCTGCAGTTACAACAGGGAGACATGGCAATACTGTAGTGAACCACGAATGTTTAATGTATACTTGCTTTTATGAAGTATGTAGGGAGATGGCGAATGAGGAGACTGCAGTGAGCGAGGCAGTTGTAAATATGTTTTTTGACTTTTCTTAGGTTTCTGCCTAGCTCATTGTGTTCTGGTCTTACTGTGTGTCTGGTATTTTGTGTTGCTTACAACTTGCATATCGCTATTAGAATATCATGTGATGAGTCAACATTGTGATTCCTTGCAGTGATTCATTTGGCTGAAGGAATCTCAGTATTGTCTCCTGAACAAATACTCAAAAAGCTTTTCTTCCTCCCTGCTCAGCTCTTACCTTTTTTAGATGAATGTGTGCTGGTTAGGAGAACATCCTCTGTTTTTGCTCTTTACTCTTCCTCTCTGTTTCTCTTCACCTGAATCCTAGCCGTGCTTTGAAAACCAGCCTGAATACTCCATTAAAGCCCTGATTTCGTGCCTTCCCTCTGTACCATAGACATTCCAGGCACCACATATTTTATGCCTCAGTCTCCACTCTTCCTCTCCACTCTTCCTCTGTTTTGGTCTACTACATGCTGCTTTCTGCCACGTGACTGTCTCACTTTTCCTACTGGAACCTCCTGCTGTATCCATCCAGCCTCCCAGAAATCCTTTGCCCCAAAATTTCTCACATCAGATTACTTCAGGTCTCTATTCAAGTAACTTCTATCACGATGCCTTTCCCCGTTCTACTCATATGTGGCCTACACTCCTTGCTCTTACTACAAAGTGTTTTGGTTTTGTATTTGTGCAAGCTAGTCAAGTTTTGTTTAGATGGTGGTGGTGTCATCTGCCATTCAGATTTTGTCATCTTCGGATTCTTTCAAAAGTTGCTTAGGCTGTTGTTTTTGGAGATTAAATAGAAAGCACCACTGGGCCAAGAAACAAATCTCTGCAGGATCTCATTCAGACAACCTTCATTTAAAGATGTTTGTACTACATTAACAATTGCTTCTTTCAGATCTGGCCAGTTATTCTGTAAAGCGAATGTAACGCTAAGAATACAGTGTACTTCCATCGTTTGTTTCTTTTTTTAATCAAAATATTAGGCAGAACTTAGTAAATTGCTGTGCATTACATAGCTTGAGTGCAGCTGTCTTTAATTGTTTTCATGAGGAAAAGATGTTTAGAGAAATCTTGAGCAAGAGAGCTATGATGCTTACCCAATCTTTGTGCTAGAAACAAAGAAAATGACACAGATTGTGTGCTACTTATTTATCAGAACTGTAATTTTCATATGAAATGAAGCAATACTACTATACAATAGCTGTAGTTCAATACTTCTCATTAGATTTTTCTAACTAGCCACAGAAGTTACATTAATTTTGTTATCTCAGAGATGATAAATTTCCTATAAATTGATGTTGCTCAGCTAAAAATAAAAAAGCTGCTTTTGAATAAGAAAGCCTAGGTTCTTCACCAGAAAATGCTATTGACCACATGGAATATATCAACTTAACTGTCTTGCACATACTCATATTTTTTTTAATCATTTATCAAGTGGAATTTGGAACTGGGCTTTGACTTGTGTATATGACAGTTTGTGGAAGTGGTAGAGGATTGATTAGAAAATATAAGCAAGCATTCTTAATTATTTATCTGCTGAAAAGATGGCTATGCATTGTCATTCTCCAGTACTTGCTTTTTAGATCACTTTTGAGGCTACTTTCAGATCTTCTTTTTCCAACATTAACTAATTTCTGTGCGTATCAGCCCATTAATTGTATAATTTTTCTCTGCTGCAATAAACTTCTTCTGTACCAAAATGCACCATAAAGTAATCATGTGATATGTGCCTTCTAGGAGCATTTATTCCTGGAGTTCCTGTACAGCCAGTGGTTTTACGTTATCCAAACAAACTGGTAAGTTCAGTTGGAAACATGGGGCATTTTCCTCTAAGTACATTGGCACTTCTGTAATCTTTTAGGGTAGATAAATAGGTTTAGAAATTTGGAAATCATTAATGAATACTTTTTGGCTTATTAGTGTGCATTTGTTAAGTCTAGCAGTATAGTCTTAACTGAGACAGTTCAAATGTTTCTGCTTTTATTAGGTTACTCCTAAACAGTGCTTTGAAAGTTATTCAGGTTGTTACAGGAAGTACTGTACAAATGACAGAAACTGACATTTGTCTTGTCTAGGATCTGTGTTCCCATGTGCTCCCTGTACTGAACTGTGTCATGGAGAGTTTTCTTAGTATTGTTTATTGCTGGAAGATGCTTCTGCAACCCCTACCTGTAGGGGTGTTAGTCACAAAGTAATGCAACTAGCTGAATGATAATAGAGTAATATGTTGAGGACTTCAGCATTTTTGTAAGGCATCTTCTTGTCCATTGTTTACTTTCACTGTGCACTTGGCTAAGGAATGCTAGACATGGACTAATTTGGAGTAGTCCTTCAATATAAATCAGATTTGGGTAAAATGCAAATTATAGTGTGTGTTTAAAAAATATATAAATTAATTTTTACAAATGCTTGTAAAGATACAGGCAAACAAGGCAAAGCTCACTTCATCCACTTCAAGATCAAGCCTACAGGAAAGCAGAGAAGAGGTTTATGTTGTGGGTTTCGTTTTTTTGGGGTTTTTTTTAATTATTAATCAGTCTACTTGATGTAAATACCTTCTTGTCCTTCCACAGCCAGAATCCTGTCTGTCTGCATTCCTCAGTTAATTAGAAGATGCTTCTTAGAGAACTTTACTAGCTTTCATGCTTGAAGTTTCTTTTTGAGCCCTCTTGGGCTGTTTTCAGGTCTAGCCTGTCCGCTTCAAAAATAGAACTTATTTAGGAGAGGGTGGGAGAAGTGTCAGAAGTAAAATAAGGACTACCTTGGATGATGCCTCTCACGTCAGGAGATCTGGTGTCATCTCTCTTTGACTAGCTCCTTAACGCCTTGATCTAAGGAAGGATTTCAGCTCCTTTTGATACCTGTAGTGCTTGTGGTTTGTAAGTGGTTCCAGCCATTGTTCTTTTTGTCAATTTAAAGGTTGGTGTAAGACACATGCTTGATTAAAAAAGAAAAGAATCTAAGCAAAGGTAATATACATAGAGCACTGCTAGCTCTTGACTGAGACATGGTGTGATGGCAGTCAGCTAGTTTACAGCAACAAACCCCAAAATTATCTTTGTGGATGCTGTGACAAGAATAGCTGCCTGTTATGCTTGCATAGTATTAAGTGTATTTTAACAGTTTGCCTGGGGCTTTTCATTACATAATTGTTTTATTTGCAGGAGGAAACATTCTTTTCTAGAAGTATTTTTAAACTTTTATTGCACTGCCAGTTTAAATTGCAAATATGCACATACCTTGTTTCATACTTTACTGAAAGTAACATGGTATATTAGCATTAAACATTTTATAACAATATAAAGCTATCAAACGTTAATTTTCAAGTCTTCAGAAACCCGTTTTTATACTGAAATGTCCTTATTGCCTGTAGTACGTATATGCAGTGTTTGTAAACTAATAATAAATGTTCCTAATGTTCTATTAACTGAAATGGTCAGGTTTTTATATCGAAGTAAAACTATAAATTTTAATGAAAATTTCAATTTTTTTAATACTACTGCAAAATACCATAAACCAAATTCTAAATATTTATTTAGATATCCATCAGTGTTGGCCTAAATCTGTGCATGGAATTTTACTTTTTCCTACCACTTTCGATTGCTTTAAAACACTTAGTTTTCAGTGCCTTACAGAATCTTTTAACCTCCTACAGTCTGCTTCCACTAAGCACTAATGAGGGAGGGATAATTGCTGTTACTGTTTGATTTTTAGACTAGCTTGGGTGGGCTGGAGAAGACCTGCAGCAAGGTTAGAATGCGGAGGAAGGAGGAACATGATGTGATATGTGAAGGTGAGGTTTATTTTGATTAGGGTGCAGTTAAGAGTTAGGTAGCAAGTAAGAACAATGCAGTAGGGAGGAAACATTGTTTTGCATACACTGTTGTCTTGTTTGACCACTGCGTATTTTAATTTTAGATTTATAAAGGAGTTTAAGATCTTTGCTTAGTCAGTGAATTCCAGATACGCATTGTGTTCAGTCACCCCACTGCTTTTAGCTTGAACTACCTGCTCCAATCCACCTCCAGAGCTCTGAGTTCCGCAGTACAGATGAGAACATTCTTGAACTTGAGTGCACCTGACTCTTGGGAGGCTTTTTGAGATGGAGCCTGGGGTGAATGTAGTAGGTGTGTGATTTACATGTCAATTTCGTTGTACTCTATTCAAGAACTAGGGAGAGTACTATTGACTGGAGCTTGTCGCAAAATTGGTCACGTAAATTCAGGTTTTATCTTGCAAATAAATCTAATTCTGGTTGCCATGGAGAACTCTCTTTCTGGTCAGGTTTGCCCCCTGAATTCCTTACTTCTTCAGGCTTATGACTCTTTGCAGCAGATGCTGCCTCTGGTCCTCTATCAGTGTTTTTTTAGTAGTATGTTGCTCTTCTTGATGTGTGAGTAAAAAGAAATTGGAAGGCTTAAAATGTTGTTTAGATATGGCATTCAAAATTTACTTCTGTTTAGGTAGTTTAGTAGTATTTTGCCTATTGGATGCTTGACAGCTATTATCTATAATCTGATTAAAATAAATGCTCTAATGTCTCCATCCATAAGTTCTACAGCAATCATTTTGCAATTTTTTTTTACACTGGTTGACTTTGTGTATACAGCTCCTCCTTCATTTGAATTTTCTGTCAGAGTGCTGGTAATTATGAAAGGCTATATACCTGTTTAAATATCACAGAGCCATTTGAAATGTATTTTTATGTCCAGGTGTCTTCTACAGGTAACTGCTATTTGATAAGAGGCTTGGCAGCATCTCTTGTGCAGCTTTTATGTATTGGGGTTGACCGAGTGTGTAAAACAATAGCCAGTCTGCTGTTTGAAGTTTGGCATGATTCTCAATGTCTTCTTGTGTCAAATAAAAATTGTGCAGAAAGTAAGTATTCCATATAATTAGAAGAATTTGTTATCTAGGTACAAAAGTTTCCAAGTATACTGTGAATGCTATCGAAGTGAGTTCTGTCCGTAAGCATAAGCTGATAGCTGTGTTACATGTAAAAGGTATCAAAACTAAGTACAGAATATACCACTTCCCATCTTCTGCTTGCTTATCATAAGAATACTGTGCATGCTGGCAGGAGCCTCCTACAAAATAGGTCTGCCTCTTGCAGACCAGAATCTTGTTTTCTACTATGTACGTTTATAGCCATCACCCCTGCTGCATCCTGATGTTCTCAATGAGAAAAATCATGCATGTCTGCTGTGACATTCACATTGGGAATTTCTCGCGGCGTTGTTGGTAGGTATGTGGCTTATTTGAGTTTGTTTTGCCAGCTAGCCAGCATAGTGAATGGAATGTGAAAGTATCTGTTTGCTGGTCAGTGATCCGTTGCCCAGGCCAGGTGCTTTTGTAGAGCTCACTTTTTGCTTTGTCTCCTTTTGCACTGTTGCAATTTAGAGAGCTGAGCTGGATATGTGTAGTGCTGCGGTGATGTTCTACATAGCAGATCTAGTCTCAGATGAGAGAAATTACCGCCTATCTACATTGCCATGATGTCAAGATTTGTAAATGAAAGTTCCTTGTAGAAAAAAAACCAAACCCCATAACACTTGCAGTATTAACAGACATCAAAATTGCCAGAAACAGTTTAACAGTAAAACTCAAGACATTAAGGTTCTAAAAGATCATTGCATGGAGAAGTCTATTTTCATACATGTATGTTGATTGCTAGAGATAGAACTGTTCTTTATCATATTTTGGTTGATTTTAAAGTAATTGTTGAAAGTCAAGATTTAAATTTTTAGTAGTCCTTTATGATATTTTAACCTTACTCCAAGCTGTTGATCTATCACATTCATCACATTTTTCACCTTTCATGGATGTGTTGCTTTCTTTCATTACTTGTGAAATTTCTTTCATTTACTTGTGACAGCCTTTTGCTCTAAATGGTAACTAAAATATGAGTCTGACTGGATTTTTTTCAAGATCATGGCATATGTGATCACATAACTCTCTAAAATGGGTCTTGATATTAGCGTGGAACTGAAGTAATTTCAGTAGGTTGATAGAAGTATGTCTCTGATCTTTTACAAACCTGAATTTACCAAGTCCTCTTACCTTTGCATTAGTGACTTGTACTTTTTTTTTTTTTATTCCAGTTGGTCGGAACAGTAGCTGGAGCTCGTTTTCAGGGTTTTTTTGGTCCTTGCTTCTACACTTAAATCTCTTCTCCAAGTACTGCAGTTTTTTTTCCCCCACGCGGTTTCTTAGTCTTACAGTTAAAAATGATGACCTTTACTGTCATATTCCTTCTTGTCACCTGTTATGTGCTCCTTTCCAGATTGCTGTTCCGTTTTTGTTATTTGCATCTTGTTCATTTCTTTTACTGCTATTTGTCCTCTCAGCCTTTCGCACATGGTTCACCTCAGCCGTATAAAAGTGGTGCTGGTCTTGCCTGAGAGTAAATCTTTGGGTTTAGATATCTTGTAATGCACCTTTGTATTCTTGGATCAGGCAGGTGGATATATGATAACTGAGTAAAAGCAACTGGAAAAATACTGTTTGAGTTAAGACATGAGGTCTTACTCATCCTGCTGCTTCATGTCAGTTGAGCAGACTTCCTATGAGTTATCCCTACAGGTCACAGACACTTTGTGTTATAGTGTTCCTATCTGTGGCTGGGAGGTCCAAGTAAAGTATATGGACACTTGAGGGACACCCTGTTGAGGAGGGTGAGTTAGGAAAATACACATGGGCAATGCATATCAAGCAACATCATCTTAGAGTAAATAACCTTCTTTTCCAAGGCTAACAACATTTGAAGACTCTCTGCATCTTTAACTGTGTTCTAAATACAGATATTATGTATTTAAGAGCTGGATTACTAGCGTGATTCCTGTTGGGGCTAAGAACTTTTGCAAAGAGGACATTGAAGTTTCCGTGAAAACCTTTTAGTTGTGTGTCATCAGTTATCTGTAATGTAACAAAAGTTTAAAGTGCAGTAATTAATTGTAACTGTCATCATTCTTTTCTTAGGATACAATCACATGGACATGGCAAGGGCCAGGAGCGTAAGTGGTTTATGTTTTATTGCTTTCATCATGATCACCTTCCTTCATTAGTTCTTGTTTACATGACCTACAGGCATGTATAGTCGAGTAGTAATTCTAGTTACTGGATTATTCTTTGGGATTAATTTGTGTCTTTTATCTATTATTCCCTAGTTATTATAATATTTGGAGGAATCCAGGTATAAACAGTTTACTTTTATGTTTTTCATGGTTTGCAGAATGGATTTTAGGTTTTTATTTCAAATTTTTTTTAGCCAAGTACCTGAAGTAAAACAGCTGGCTTCTGCTTCATATATTTTATTGCCTGCAAATCAGTTTGGTGTGTTTCTGTGTAAAATCTGTATGGCTGTTTGAAATTGGTGTAGTCCTATGGAACAATCAGTCCACTCAGGGAATTTGGAGATACTGGTTCTGTTACCTTGCCTGAATGTAACTTGTCTTTTTAAAAACAAAATGTTATTCTAGGGGTTCTTAGCAAGTTCCTTTAATGTAAAATACTAAATGAAGAGGTTCTTGCTTGTTTAAAAGAATTTTTTTTTCCATTATTTTCATGTTGGGGTTGGAGTTGAAGTTCTGAAATGTTTAGATGAAGATCAAACCAAGAAATTTTGAACCCTAGGTAAAGGAGAGTTGGATTCTGTGGTGAATGGCATGCCATTAGCCTCCTTCTGGGGAACCATTGTTTCAAATGTCCCACCTGAGATCCTACATTTTAGTAGTCATGAGGAAACCACTGGGATTAGCCAAGATTCATATAATTTAGAATTTTGTCAATAAATTTTGCACTTTCAAGTGGACTGGTAAGCAGGTCTATTTAATGACATATCTAGGTTAAGATGAACAGGGGGCTGGAGCACCTCTCCTGTGAAACTGGCTGAGAGAGTTGGGGTTATTCAGCCTGGAGAAGGCTCAGAGGAGACTTTAGAGCAGCCTTCTAGTACCTAAAGGGGGCTGAAAAGATATCTGGAAAGGGACTTTTTACAACGGCATGTAGTGGCGGGACAAGGAGGAATGACTTTAAACTGAAGGAGGGTAGATTTATGTTAGATATTAGGAAGAAGCGCTTCATTATGAGGATGTTGAGGCAGTGGAACAGGTTGCCCAGAGAAGCTGTGGCTGCCCCATCCCTGGCAATGTTTAAGGCCAGGTTGGACAGGGCTTTGAGCAACCTAGTCTATTGGGAGATGTCTCTGCCCATGGCAGAAGGGTTGGAACTGGATGAACTTTAAAGTCATTTCCAGCCCAAACCATTCTGTGATTCTGTGATTTGGAAACTTGAGGAAATCATTGATCACTTTCAAAGGTTCAGCTTTCAATTAAATCGTCACGTTGGAAGAAGATGAATCCGTGGTAGTGTCTAAAGTAGGTACTGCAGCATTTACTGCATGCTGGGATTTCTATCCTCTCCTCAGTGAGCTCCTACCTCTTCCGTTGCATTTGCATTGCAGTTCATCTAGCAAATTGAGTCAGCCAGAGCGGGGAAAGGTGAATAGCTTATGTCCAGCTTAGTGTCCTACCTGAGGAGTCACAAACACAAGAAAGAGAAAGAGGAGGAAAGGAACGTGTAGGTTTGTTGCCTCAGATCACTTTAATGTGTACAAAGCACTCGGAAGTGGTGACCTCTGTTAATAAAGTTAAATTAAATTAAAAATCTGAGGTAGCATGTGATGCTACACAAATGTACTCGGTCAGTTTAAATTACAACTTTACTTAATTAGGATTAATTCTCCTGGGTGACCTAAAATGTATTTCTGTTGTCTTGGCAGAAATATTTTTAAGACTGATACACTCTTCACTTTCTCAGCAACTCTCTCTCTTCCTCTGTCATAGTGTTAACCAAAATTTAATCAGGGAATGTTGCTGTATCCAGGAGTATTCTCTTTGTTCAGAGGTGGTGTAGCCCAGAAAATGGACTGAAAACTCATCACATGGAGTTAACTTAAGACACTTTCTTCCACTTATGGAAAGTAATGTTTTTACTGGTTTGGCAGATCAGCTGTGACTCCACCTTGAAAACAGAGACTGACTATAGCATAGAGCTTACAATTTTTTTTTCTACATTGGACTTAGGTTGGATACAGGTTTTATCAGTTTCTAAATTGATATTTAAATTTTAAGGTTTAATCTTTGAGGATTGCAGAAGTTGACTGAAGACTTTACTTGTAACTTACTGGGGTGTTCTAATGTTCTTGGACAAGGGCCTAGAAACCACACTTACGCATTTCGTGTCAGTGATGTAAACTTCAAATCACAAGTTCCACACTTGTTCTTGCTTTAATGTGTTGGAAGTTCAGTGGGAGTCAAGGGAGAAAAACTATGTTGCAGCCCTGAATGAGATTATAGCAAAATGAGTAGGGTGTTACTTCTAGGAACTGCACTTCATCTACTTAAGAGGGTTTTGACCAGCCCTCCCCTCACAGTGATTGACTGGCGTAACTACCTAGATACTGTATAAACTGTTGCTACTAACACTGCTCCCTAAATTAGGTTTCCTAAATCCTTTCCTGGATTTGATTCTGACTGCTTTCTAAGGTCAGGTTGATCCCAGTTATCTTGTGTCTTAGGCTACTAAGACACATGTACTGCATTTCATTAACACACTTCTGAAGTATAATGAACTTTGATTCCGAACCAAAGTAACAAGTAGTTATAATTAATCTTGCCAACTCTATGCTGAATACACCATTTTCCTGAAACACACTTACTCTTTCTTTACACATTGTGCATACATCATCTCTTACTGGATGTATTAGTACCTGTATATTATATTACTGTTTGTCATCTTGCTTTTGGGTATCTTTTAAGATACAATTTCAGAGTAAATTACTTTTGTTGCACATTACAAAATGTAATTGATAAAAGTACACTCAATTTTTTTATCTAAATATGATCATATTGTAGTTGAAGACTTTGGAGCATAGTGCACTACTGTTTCATTACCTGTAGATTTTTTTTTCCTCAATCGTTTTCCTTTTTTTTTCCTCTTCTAGGTTAGAAATTCTGTGGCTCACTTTGTGTCAGTTTCACAATTCTGTGGAAATTGAGGTCAGTAAAAAAACCCCAGTGTATTCTGAGCAGTATCAGAATACATAATATTATACTTGCTTCTGCAGTAAATGCTTGTATTCAAACTTCGTATGTATGTCTGTGAAAACAGGCTAAATGGCTTCTGTATCTGAAAACGTAGTCTAAAAGTGCAATAACACTTGGCTTAAGGCTTGACTTATTAATTTAAATTGATGGATTTCTGACTCTGTTTAGAGTCTTGCCTGAACAATTCTCTTGTCTTTTAATGGCCTGATTTCTATTACACGTAGCATACCAACTGTGTGATTTAGATATCCAAGTGTCTGAATGCTGGATACAAATTAAGGAGTATCTTCTAGAGAATAGTAATTGTAGACAGTTTTTTATAGCCCAGATAAGTTATTTAATATGTTAGGCTAATTTTTTTAATTAGTATGCACTCTTCAGAATGTGAAATTTGAAAACACAGAGAAAACCTATGCATAGTCTTAACTTTGTTTTGAGGAAAACACTCTGTGATCCTAAGGCTGAAGACTAGTGAAGCTACATAACCAATTAAATACGTTTAAAGTGCTGGCCTGTGCATTTTACAGAGAGTAATTACGTTCTTCTGAAGTATGGTATTTTAAAAGTGTTACATATGATATGACAGATGTTCTGCATTTCTCTTGCTTACGTTTTCTAATAATGAAGCAGCTATTTATCTCTGACTGATGGAACTGATGGCAGGGTAAATTAGTAGGAAGAGCTATTGCATATTTACATACACATATATGTCGCCGTAGTAAGATATAACACATGCCAGTCACATTATTTATCATTGCAGTATATTCTTTACTTAATTGCAGTATGAATTTTTCTCAAAAATAAAGAATTCACAAAATACCAGCCACTGAATAGTTGTATCTGTTGCAGAAATTTGTGGGTTGTTTTACCACTTTAGCTGTATATCTCTAGCTATCAACAGTTTATTATTTATTTAAAAAAAAAAAAAATCTTATTTCCAAAATAGTGGCCTGGTTTTGATAGAAGGGCCAGTGAGTATCTGCCTTGCACAGCTGATCAGCAGGATTCTTACTCTATCTCAGGAACATGGTTTTCTGCCCTAGGCAAGTAAAATGGGCTCTTCTACACAGAAGTGAACACTGCTGAGCTGTCTTGATTTTTGAGGCAGCAGCTGCTAGCAGATGCTGAGGTTCTGTAGCTAAAACATATGTTGCATAAGGACAAGTTATGATCTTTGGTAGTCTTAAAAAAAAAAAAAAAGAAAAAGCTAGTGGCTGTCTGAAATACTCCTTGCTAAAGCAGGAGCTGTCAGTGTAGAGGAGCAAGTCTATTTGCAACGCTGCTTTCAAGTATGAAGCAGAGTACTTGGGAGCTACTTGTGCAGTCTGGTTTTGTAAGGAAGTGCAGCAGATTTAGGAATGCAGAGGGAAAATGACTTGTTCTGTGTTCAAAAATCATGATTTTCCCCTGGTCTCCAGAGCTTGTTGGCTTTTATTCCTGCTTTGTTCCATCAGCACAGAGACACACCGGCAAATACCAACCAGCCTTGATGCCAGAATTACTGCTGAAGATCCAATAACTCAGGGACATGTACAGCAAGACAACACAGTTTCAGTATGTTTTGGATTAAAGGATAGCTAGTAAGGTCTAACAGCCAGCAATCAGGATCTGAAGTTTGTTAGTCTGGGCTTCTCTGCATATAATGTATGTTCTGTCTTGATACATGTCATCCAGCATTTTATTGAGAAGCAAGCATGTATGTAGATTTCATAATAGATTGTTATAGATATTGGCCCACCCATCCATCCATCCTGTACTTGGAAATGTCATGCAAGCAATCTGGTGAAGAAGAAAGAATATATGATCATCTGCAAGCGTAGTTTGTTTTGGCTCATACTGGTTTGTTTTGCTGGCCTGTCAACTTCAGTGTTCATATATCCATCAGTCTGTAGCAGCTGAGAGTTCTTCTCTTAGTTTTGTTAGTGGTGCTGAAATGATCGTGCTGTTTCTGTCTGGTTAGACACAGACATGTAGAACACCTCTGAAATCACCTCATACTCAAACTTGTCCTGTGTTTGCATGGATGACTTGTTAGCAGTTTGCTACTGAAGTAGAACAGGGCTTGGAAGTTGAAGGAACAATCTTTCCATATCTGTTAGCTTCACAATCTTTGTCCTTTTGTACGTTACATCACATCAGGCTGGCCTACCTGGTTGTACACCTAGAAGATAGGAGTCATGTTTTCAGTTGCAGTGGTGCATGTAGGG